ATATATACTTATTATTATTACTTTTGTTTTGTTTTTTGTTTGCAGTAGTTGATGTTGCCTTGTTTCCGACAGGACTGGCAGTAAGCTGGGAATCTCCCCTCTGATGTTGGCGGCTATGAACGGTCATGTGCCAGCAGTGAAGCTGTTGTTGGACATGGGCTCGGACATCAATGCTCAGATCGAGACCAACAGGAACACAGCCCTGACCCTCGCCTGCTTTCAGGGCCGAGCTGAGGTCGTCAGTCTGCTGCTCGATCGCAAAGCCAACGTCGAGCATCGAGCTAAGGTGAGCGGTCTAAATGTTAAACCGGATCGAGCTGCGCTTCGCTTTGACGTAGTTGTGATATTTCTTGTTAGGAAGTGTTCTTTTTGTTTGTCGTGTCTCCTACTGGTGTTGCTAACTGAGCGTTCCTTACAGACCGGTCTTACTCCTTTAATGGAGGCTGCCTCCGGAGGTTACGCAGAAGTGGGCAGAGTCCTGCTGGACAAAGGCGCCGATGTCAACGCTCCCCCTGTTCCTTCGTCACGAGACACTGCCCTCACCATTGCTGCCGACAAGGGCCACTACAAGTTCTGTGAGCTGCTTATTACCAGGTGAGGACTGGTGTGCTTTCAAATGTGCAAACGTGAAGACGGTCTTGTTGCACATGCTTTTGCACTCATTTACATCAAGTTTGCTTTTATCTACACGTCTTCCTTGATTCTTTAAAACACTCTTGTCTTTTTATTTTTGATTTGAAGGGGCGCTCATATTGATGTGCGCAACAAGAAAGGAAACACTCCCCTCTGGCTGGCAGCAAACGGTGGTCACTTCGACGTGGTTCAGCTCCTCGTGCACGCCAGCGCCGACGTGGATGCTTCAGACAACCGCAAAATCACCCCACTCATGGCTGCTTTTCGAAAGGTGCGCGAATCGTGAAAGCTGAGACGCTGTGTCAAGCTTCTCTTTACTAAATTGTGTGCTTAACGTTTTAGGGCCATGTAAAAGTGGTCCAGTATCTTGTGAAGGAGGTCAACCAGTTTCCGTCGGATATTGAGTGCATGAGATACATCGCCACCATCGCTGACAAGGTAGGTATCGATTTAATTTTCAAGTCATTGTTTCRGCAGCCATTGACCTCCGCGAGGTGATCAGTATTCAGAGCTACAACCTCTTATTTCCTGAAGGAGCTGTTGAAGAAGTGTCACCAGTGCATGGAGACCATCGTCAAAGCAAAAGACCAGCAGGCAGCTGAGGCTAACAAGAACGCTAGCATTCTCCTCAAGGAGTTGGACTTGGAGAAGGTGATGTTAGCTCTTCTACTACAGCTGGAAGGTTTTACAAAAAACTTAAAAGTGTAACTCGTGCGGGCAAAATGAGTCAGAATGTTGAGGCCATGTGACACTTTAACATTTAGACGACTTCTGCCAACATATGAAAGAAAAATGGCAAATGCACTGGTGTAAGTCACTTACGTTTGGTGCAAGTTTCAAACTCGTTGCTAGCAGAGTTGTAATGTAACTAAGTACAAATACTTTGTTACTGTATTTAAGTAGAAATTTTGGTCATATGTACTTGAGTAATTAAGTTATTAAAAAGCCTACTTTTAACTTCTACTCCTTACATTTTTTAAAAAGGTAAGTCGTTACTCCTATTTCATTTCAACTTGTTAATGTTAAAAAAATACTATCCTGAAAAATTGTGGCTCCAGGATAGAGTGAATGTATTTGTGGCTACATGAGAAGTATAAATATAAACCATTCTGATACTGTATTTAGTTTATACACAATCCACCAAAGCTGCACGCCTTTAGAAAATATAAGTTTTGAAAAGGTCACCTCCTTATAAATGTATTTTGTAAAATCTAACCGCTCATTTTTACTCAGTACTTTTATTACTTAAGTATATTTTATGTCAGAGATTTAGTTTTGATAAGTACAAAATAAATCAAATACTTTTAAGACTTTTTCTCAAGTAATATTCTTAGAGGAGACTTTAACTTTTACCAAAGTAATTTTATGATATGATACTTGTACTTTTACTCAATTATGACTTTCAGGTACTTTATACAACACTGGTTGCTGGCACGCTGATATTTTTGGGGTGGGGGGAATTTGACAGGGAGGGTTGGCGTCACTGTTGGGATGCTTAGCCTGGTGGTGGGGGGCTAGTAAACCCTGGCAGCCTGCCAGGCTTTTAATACACTGAGGGAAACGCTGAGTTGACAAATGTGGGAAACCAGCTCGGCACATGTAAAGGGTGCAACTACTGTCTTGAAAAAAGGAATAAAGCTGATTTATTTTTGACACTTCAAAATTTTTTAAAGTGAAAGTTGTTGAGCAAAGCCAGAATATTTGGGATGCAGCTTATTTTAAGATAAGTGAGATTTTTTTTACATTGGTTTTGCCTTTTAATTTATAATATTTTTAAAAGCTAAAACATTAGATTTTACATAATAAGGAAATTAAATTCTCTTTTGAGTATATCTGCACAATTTAAGAACACGTTATTTCTTAAAAAAATAAGAACATCTTATTTCATATCACTTCAAGGTGCTGGAGAATGTAGAAAAATAATCCTGAAAATGCTTAAGAAGCGTTTTGAGTTTGACCTTTAGTGAAATGATCAAGAGCCCTGTGACGGGATGTCAGACAACATGTTTTTAAATAATCCTTGTGTGCCCTTCCAGTCTCGGGAGGAGACCAAGAAGCAGGCGCTGGCTGCCAAGAGGGAGAAAAGGAAGGAGAAACGCAAGAAGAAGAAGGAGGAGCATAAGAGAAAAACAGAGGAAGAGGAGGGGCAAAAACCAGAGGAGTCATCAGAGATGCAGGAGCAGAAAGATGATTCAGCCGAAGGTAAAAAAAAAAAAAAAAAAATCAAAAACAATAAAGTTATAAACTTGAGTTTGATTTAATGAACGCAGGTGATGATTTGCCTCTGATTGGATCTGATTCCTCCTCCTCTAGAAAAAGAGGTCCCAATCGAACCTCCCAGCGCAACCACCACCACCACCATCGGCATATCCGCCACCTCCACCACGTTCGCCACAGGTTTTGGGAAGAAGCGAGGAATCGTTGCCACGACCCCGAACACCAATCGTAAGAACAAGAAAAACAAAACCAAGGACTCTGCACCAAACGAACCAATCATATTACAGGATCCGCAGGTGAGCACTGCCGCGTCTTTGCAGCAGCCTTTGTTTGAGCAAAAGAATTCCTAACAAGTCTGAGCTTTGTGTTACAGGTTGCTCTCGCGCAGCACAAAGCTGACAAGAACAAGATCCACGGTGAGCCACGGGGCGGCGGAGGGGGCGCGGCGGGCGGGAACAGCGATTCAGACCCCCTGGATAGCACCGACTGTGCCAGRGAGAGCAGCAGCAGCGGGGGGAGGAGCCAGGAGCTCAACTACCTCCCTGACCTCCCCTCCTCGGCCTCCTCCTCTTCTTCCACCTCCTCCTCCTCCTCGGCTCCTTCCTCAGGAGTAACGCAGTCCCAGGCCTTCCTGCCCGGTCCGGAGAAGAGATACTGTCCTCAGCTGCAGACGGATAACAAAATGGACACAAAGGTCACCGTCTCCATCTCAAAACCAACACAAAAGTGAGTCCCAGCTAAGAGCTGAACAGGAGCGAAGCGCCGCAGTGCTGCTTTATAACCACTCGTTCAGCTGGAAGCACAAATAACAGGTTGTGTCATAAAAATGTAAACAAATACTTTGTGTTTTGCTGCAGAGCTCCAGATTCAAGCGACTCCTCCAACTCTTTGCCTTCTCCGTTCAAGACCATGGCTCTTCCTGTCACCTCCCCCAGCAGTAAGCTCAGCCTCACGAGTCCAAAGAGAGGCCAGAAAAGAGAAGAAGGCTGGAAAGAGGTGGTGAGAAGGTCAGTTTTCAAGAGGGAATTGATGTTTTCTCTTGCTTTTTAGTTTGATCTGTGTATATATTCGTATTTTGTCTGCTCACTGCTGTGCATTKTAAATTAAAACTATGACTGAACCGGAGCTACCGCGGTACAGATTTGACTTTAATCACGTCACTCTGTTTTGCAGATCCAAGAAGCTCTCTGTGCCAGCCTCCGTCGTGTCTCGGATCATGGGTCGAGGTGGCTGCAACATCACGGCCATCCAGGATGTGACAGGAGCTCACATTGACGTGGACAAACAGAAGGACAAGAACGGGGAGAGAATGATCACCATAAGGTACAAATATCCTCCCCCTGCTGGACCACAAGTGCAACTGCAGTGCAGTCATGAATAAACAAACCAGACATTTAGGTTTACGAAACAAATAAAGTAGAAGTAGATATGCTAGGAGCAATATGTTTGTCAAAATACAGGAGTCACAGTAAGAATCTGGAAGTATAGAATGAAACCAATTAAAAAAATGACTATTAACTCTGGGAAAGTGATTTTGAGTTCACTGTTTTTGTTCAGGCTCTGTGTAAGCACAGTCACATTTARATAGACTGCCTTTTAATTCAAACACAGGATGGAAATATTTCRTCTCTTCCCCTCATATTCTGATTTAAATCCTGCTGTTTGGTTTCAGAGGAGGCACGGAGTCAACGAGGTACGCAGTCCAGTTGATCAACGCTCTAATCCAGGATCCAGCCAAAGAGCTCGAGGATCTAATTCCCCGGAATCACATCAGAGCCCCAGGCTCTAAAGCGGCGTCGGCCTCTTTRGCCAGTACAGCATCGGCCAGCGGTTCAGCCGCCGGCTCGAAGGCTCTAAGCTCATTGGTCACCTCCAGCGGTGTTTCGTTCCAACCCTCTTCATCTGCATCGTCGTCCTCCTCTCAGACCGGGGCCAAAATGGGAAAGGGGCTGTCGTCCAGCGTCAGGCAGCCTTTCCCGGTGTCYCTGCCCCTGGCGTACGCTCACCCTCAGCTGGCTCTGCTGGCCGCTCAGACCATGCACCAGATCAGACACCCTCGTCTGCCCATGGCACAGTTTGGTGGCACCTTCTCACCGGCTGCCAGCACCTGGGGACCTTTCCCAGTGCGTCCCGTGAGTCCCGGCAGCGCCAACGGCTCCCCCAAACACAACGGRGGAACCGCCAACGCCGGGGCCCAGGCACGGCCCAGCTCAACCCACGAGCACAGTGGTGCGGCCAGCTCGGGGACTCCGGTCACGACCACCAACACCACCACGACATGCGSGCCCAATACGTCTGCCGCTGCGGCCTCACCTCAGACCCCTAATCCCACTCCATATAATCCTCAACCAAGCATCCCCACCCCATCTTCTGCCAGGAAACAGCTTTTTCCTCCTGATCCCAAGCCAACAGGCGTCACCCCCGTGTCTAGTGCCCCTGCGTCTAGCAGCAGCAGCGCTGTGAGAGGCACCGGTTCTCCTGCACTGCCCAGTTCCACTACGACTACAACCAGTGCTCCTCAGCAGCCAGCTGGACCTGTTTCTCAGCCTCCCATCCAGCCCACTAAGACAGAGCCCAGTATCGTGGCCCCGCCTGGGAAAGACAAACCGTCTGTACCCATGGAGAACCAGCCTGTYTCCGTCAGTGAGAACATCAGCTCTGTGGGCTTCCCTTCTTCTGCTCTGGCTTTAACTACCAAGCCAGAGTCCCGACAGCAGATACCTCCTCCTCCCTCTTCTGTACCGTCGTCAGAGGCTCATCCACCCCTTCAGAACCCACAGCCCAGCTCCCACCTTCCCTCAGTGCTATCCCCTGCGCTCTCACACAACGTTTCACACGCCAACAACACTGTTCCCCACTTCTCAGCCCCCGCACCTCGCGTCTCCCATCGTATGCAGCCACCAGGGCCTTACTTTCCCCTTTCGGAGCAGCAACAACAGACYCCGCAGCAGCAGCAGTCTGTTTTTGTGCCCTTCAGCGCTCAGCAGGAACCCTCAAAACAGACCCAAAACCAGACYTCCCAGCCAACGAATCTGCCCCCAACAACCCAAGCTCAGGCCCAAGCTAATCTGGGAATAATGAACGGCTCCCAGATGCAGCATGTTGCCACCGCCGGCAAACCTCAGCAGATACCCCCCAACTTTGGTCATGCAGGTCTCTTCAATTTCAGCAGCATCTTTGATAACAACAGCCAGGTTTGTTTAATAAACATACATAATGTCTCATATTTGTATGTGTGTGTATGTATATGTATATATATGTGTGTGTGTGTGT